CCTTGGCTTCTGTGACACCATGTATCTTAGAAAACCTAAGTCATAGATTTTTGTAATTTATTGAAGCTGTGCTCTCTGTAGAAACCTGTAAAAGTGTGAGGAAGCAGATCAGAACAGGGAAAGAATCAAGGTTAAGATATGATCTCAGGAGAAATTTAGCCTTAGCTTTATTCCACCAGAGTTCTGGAACATGCCTTGTACCCAGAGGCAAAGGAGTGTGGCTGTTTCATCCCTGCATTCATTATGGGGTATAGGCTGCCTTGGGAGGATTGAGTAGAGGGATTACCTTCCAGGCATAACCTTCCAGGCATCTCTGGCTGAAGCAGTTCCTAGTGGCCAAGGTAAACTCTTCAGAGAAGGATGGAATAGAAGTCCTTAGCAGGAAAAGTCCAGTTCCTGAGGACTGAGCCCTGTCTCAATAAAGGAGATCTGCCATATCAGATGCTGTCGGTGTCCCATCCCCTCTGTCCACCTCACTGGCCATTCCTTCTCCTCTGCTAGGATCAATCCTTCTCTCATACTCTCACTCTTGGTATTCTCTTATTGATCCCACATGACAACTCTGACTTGGGTGAAGGCTCAAATTTAACTCTTTGGTCTTGACCCCTTTAGAGAGTTCTAGACTTGCATTTACAACTGCCTACTTGATATTTCCACTTCAAGGTCTAAAAGACATCTTAATTTTAATATAGATAAAACAGAACTCTTGATTTCTTCTCCTTCCCCCAAACCTGCCCTTTTCCTAGTTGTCCTCATCTCAGGTGTTCAAGCTCCAAAGCTTGATTGTATCCATGATTCCTCTCTTTCTCTTATATTTCACAACCTTCTGGCCCTACTTCCAGAGTATATCTTACATCCATCCACTTCTTTGCACCTCCATCACCACCATTCTAGCCCAAGCCATCCTCATTCTCATCTCTCATCCTCATTTCTCATCCTCATTCCTCATCCTCTTTGCTTGACCACTGCAATCCTGCCTCTGAAAAGTGTGCTATCTCTGCTCTTCATCTCTAGCTCCCCTGAAGACTATTCTGTAGGCAGTTGTCAGAGTGCTGCTGTTAAGTTATATGCCAATTAATACCATATTTCCTCAAAACCCTATACTCATTTCTCACTTTGCTTAGAATAAAATCCAACCCTTCACCCTGGTTTACAAAATCATGAGCAATCTGGCTCAAGTACAGCTTTGCAACCTCATGTTTTGCTGGGTTTTCCCCTCCCCATTATGCTCAGCCACATCAGCCCACATCTCTTGGTTCCTCAACTACATCAAAAATGTTTGTGTTTTGGGGTCTTTATTTTGGCTATTTCTTCTTTCTTATCAGCACTCAGATCTCAATTTAAATATCAACCTCCATGACTAGTTTCCTTGGACAACCAATCACTATCTCTTCATTCTTTTAATTATATACAGAGCACTTAATGCTATCTATTATTTTTCTTATGTTCTTATTTAGCCATTCACTTTTTCTTTTTTCTTGAATTTAAAATCAGTTTAGTTAAACAAAAAAATCAGTTTAGTTGGGATCCCTGGGTGGCGCAGCAGTTTGGCGCCTGCCTTTGGCCCAGGGCGCGATCCTGGAGACCCGGGATCGAATCCCACATCGGGCTCCCGGTGCATGGAGCCTGCTTCTCCCTCTGCCTGTGTCTCTGCCTCTCTCTCTCTCTCTCTCTCTCTTTCTCTCTCTCTGTGACTATCATAAATAAATAAAAATCTAAAAAAATCAGTTTAGTTAACATATAATGTATTATATTTCAGGGGTAAAATTTAGTGACTTATCAGTTGCATACGACACTTAGTGATCATTGTATCAAATGCCCTCCTTAATGCCCATCACCCAATTACCCCATGTTGCTACCCACCGTCCCTCCAGCAACCCTCAGTTTGTTCCATATAGTTAGGAGTCTCTTATGGTTTGCATCACTCTCTGGTTTTCTTTAAAGGATTTTATTCATTTATTTGTGAGGGACACAGAGAGAGAGCACAAGCACATAAGCAGGGAGTAGGGACAGAGGGAGAAGTAGACTCCCGGCTGAGAAAGGAGCACTACACGAGACCCGATCTTAGGACCCTGGAATCATAACCTGAGCCAAAGGTAGAGCTTAACCAACTGAGCCACCCAGGTGCCCCATTATCCCTCTCTCTTTTTATCTTATTTTCTTTCCCTTCCCCTACATTCTTCTATTTTGTATCTTAAATTCCACATATGAATGAAATCATATAGTATTTGTCTTTCTCTGACTTATTTCACTTAACATAATACCCTCTAGTTCTATCCACGTTGTTGCAAATGACAAGATTTCATTCTTTTTGTAGACACTGCTGCTATAAACATTGGGGTGAAGATCCCCTTCAGATCACTACATCTGTATCTTTGGGGTACTCAGTAGTGCAATTGATAGGTCATAGGATAGTTTTATTTTTGACTTTTTGAGGAACCTCCACTCTATTTTCCAGAGTGACTGCACTAGTTTGCATTCCCACCAACAGTGTAAGAGGGGTCTCCTTTCTCCACATCCTCGCCAACATCTGTCATTTCCCAAGTTGCTAATTTTTGTCATTCTGACCTGTGTGAGGTGGTATATCTCGTTGTGGTTTTGATTTGTATTTCTTTGATCCTGAGTGATGATGAGCATTTTTTCATGTGTCTGTTAGCCTTTTGTATGTTTTCTTTGGAGAAATGACTGTTCATGTTTTCTGCCCACTTCTTGACTGTTTTTTTTTTTTTTGGTGTTAAGTTTGATAAGTTTTTTATAGATTTTGGATACTAGCCCTTTGTCATTTGTGAATATCTTCTCTCATCCTGTGAGTTGCCTTTTAGTTATGTTGATTGTTTCCCTTGCTGTGCAAAACCTTTTATCTTGATGAAGTCCCAATAGTTCAATTTTGCTTTTGTTTCCTTGCCTTTGGAGACATGTCTAGTAAGAAGTTGTTGCAGCCAAGATCAAAGATGTTGCTGCCTGTGATCTCCTTTAGGATTTTGATGGGTTCCTGTCTCTCATTAAGTCTTTCATCCTTTTTTATTTTTGTGTATGGTGTAAGAAAGTGGTCCAGTTTCATTCTTCTGCATGTGGCTGTCCAATTCTCCCAACACCATTTGTTAAAGAGACAATCTTGTTTTTCCACCGGATAGTCTTTCCTGCTTTGTTGAAGATTAGTTGACCATAGGGTTGTGGGTCTATTTCAGCATCTTTTGTTTCATTCATCTATGTGTCTGTTTTTGTGCCAGGACCATACCATCTTGATCATCATACATTTGTAATATACCTTGAAGTCCAGAGCTGTGATGCCTCCAGCCTCGCTTTTTTTCAACATGGCTTTGGCTTTTCATGTCTTTTCTGGTTCCATACAAATTTTTGGACTATTTGTTCTAGTTATGCGAAGAACGCTGATTGTACTTTGAAAGGGATTGCATTCAATGTGTAGATTGCTTTGGATAACGTAGATATTTTAGCAATATTTGTTCTTCTAATCCATGAACATGGAATGTTTTTCATTTCTTTGTGTCTTCCTCAATTTCTTTCATAAGTGTTTGATCGTTTTCAGAGTATAGATCTTTTCCTTCTTTGGTTAGGTTATTCCTCTGTATTTTAGGATTTTTAGTGCTATCGTAAATAAGATTGATTGCTTGATTTCTCTTTCTGCCGCCTCATTATTGGTGTATAGAGATACAACAGATTTCTGCTGATTTTGTATCTTGTGACTTTACTGAATCCATGTAACAATTCTAGTAATATTTTACTGGAGTCTTTCCGGTTTTCTACATACAGGTTTTCTTTCATGGCTTCTGCAAATAGTGAAGTTTGACTTCTTCCTCATGATCTGGATGCCTTTTATTTCTTGTTATTTGATTGCTGGGGCTAGGACTTCCGGGACTATGTTAAAAAACAGTGGTGAGAATGGATGTCTCTGTCGTGTTCCTAATCTTAGGGGAAAACCTCTCAGTGTTTCCCTGCTGAGATGGCTTTTTCTTGAGGTATGTTCCCTCTCCCCCTATTTTGTGGAAAGTTTTTATAAAGAAGGGAAGCTGTATTTTGTCAAATGCTTTTTTCTGCACCTAGTGAGAGGATCATAGGGTTCTTTTATTAAGGTGGTGTATCATGCTGATTGATTTGTGAATATTGAACCACCCTTGCGGCCCAGGAATAAATCTCACTTGATCATGGTGAATGAATCTTTTAATGTACGGTTAGATTCAATTTGCTAGTATCTTGTTAAGGATTTTTGCATCCATATTCATCAAGCATATTGGCCTGTCGTTCTGTTTTTTAGTGGAGTCTTTTTTTTTTTTTTTTTTAGTGGAGTCTTTGATTTTGGAATCAAGGTAATGCTGGCCTCATAGAATGTATTTCCAAGTTTCTCCTTCCATTTCTATTTTTTGGAATAGTTTCAAAAGAATAGGTAGTAGCTCTTCTTTAAATGTTTATTAGAATTCCCTTGGGAAGTCATTCTGCCCTGGACATTTGGTTGTTGGGAGATTTTTGATTACTGATTCAATTTCATTGCTGGTTATCCGTCCTTTCAAGTTTTCTGTTTCTTCCTCTTTCAATTTTGGTGGTTTATATGTTTCTGGGAATTTATTCATTTCTTCCAGATTGCCCAATTTGTTGGCATCTAATTTTTCATAATATTTACTTACAATTGTTTGTATTTCTGTGGTGTTGGTTGTGATCTCTCCTCTCTCATTCATGATTTTATTTATTCGGGCTCTTTTTTTTTCTTTTTGATAAATACTGGCTAGGGGTTTATCAATTTTATTTATTTTTTCAAAGAACCAGCTCCTGGTTTCATGACCTGTTCTACTGTGTTTTGTTATTGTTTCTATACCATTTATTTCTGTTCTAATATTTATTATTTTCCTTTTCTGCTGGCTTTAGGTTTCATTTATTGTTCTTTTTTGACTCCTCTAGGGGTAAGTTTATCAACAAAAGTTCTTAATTATTTATCTCTTTTGAAGGTGAATAGTGCATGAGTTAATTAAATTTCTGTATGTTTCCAGTTGACGGCACTAAATCTGGGAAACAACCTTTTAGAAGAAATTCCAGAAGAGATGAAATATCTTACATCCCTGAAGAAGCTTCATTTATTTGGAAATAAGATTTGTAAATTTGCACCCGGAGTATGTGGTAAGTTAGTCAAAGAAGAGCATTATTATGGGATCAAATTTAATCTCTTTATATTGAACAAGTGAAAAAAGTAAATGAAATTTTACCTTTTAATCTTTTTTTTGTTGGAGATATTTATGCACTACTCTTGAAATTAAGGAATTTGAGGTACAATAGTGTCTTTTTTCAACTATTGCATTATTATTTCTGTAATGCAGACCTAAGAAAATAAGTTAGTATTAAATTAGTCAATTTTTCCTTTTCAGAATCAGGGTACATTTTAACTCTTAAATCTGGGGGCCTTTTCTCTGTGCCTGAGAGGAAATTAATTGAAAATCCAATCAAGAAAAGCATTCCTTGTTCTTTATACTTTTTATTTATTGTTTCAATATTAAGTTGCAATCTTTGCTCAAGATGCTAAGTTTAAAACCAATTCGAGGAAAGTTTTAAAGAAAGAATATGAGATCCAATAAGTGGCTTTTTTTGGGGGGGGTATTTCCTTTCAACTTGTAATTTCTCCAATAGGACACTCTTCCTATTTAATATAGGTAGAGGGGGGCTTAAGGGGAAAACACGTGACAAAGAGATGATTTTTATAGCTTCATTGAACGCTGTACATTATAGCTCATGTATAGCACTTCCTCATTCTATGTTTTTGTCCCTACTAGTAAAACTAAAGATATGTGAACTTTTGAGACATGGGTGCTATGTATAATCACTGTCATCACCAAGCAGCATTTATTAAGGATATCAATGCATAGGGAGTTAAATCAGGGGTATATTTGGCAAATAGCACAAATAGACTCTGCTATGATCTCTTTACTTTAAAACCTTAAATCACATATCCTGGAGAGATATTTTTTTCAAAACAAGACCTATAACAAACACTTATTGATGCTTATGCACATTATGTATGCAAACCCACAGATTCCGGGTTCAATTACAGTTTACTTAGATTATAGTTTACATAAGAAAAAATTAAGGGCATTAAAAAAAGACAATCTTATAAACTATTTTATAAACTACACTGAAGTAACAAACTTATGTAGAACGTGACATAGTAAATAATATTAAGTAACCTATTAATGCTAATAAAGAAAATTTTTTCTTGCGTGCCCTTACATTTGAGGTTTATAAAATATATGTAATCTTTGTTCAGTGCCCTTGCATGCCTGTAGTTTCTGTATTTCTTGGTTTTGGGCTGCTGAACATTGAAAATCCCATGTGAGTGACATAAACTATGTTTTATGTTGTGTCCTTACTATCCAAGAGCAGAAGTAGTTTGGTGTCAGGGAGTTGAGCGCCATCCAGCATGTACTACGTGATCCAGTCCCCCTGAGTAGACCAGACTGGGCAAGAGCTAGACTTGTGTCCCAAGATAGGCCAGGGCTCGTCTCTTTCTTGGGAATTGAGAAAATCTACAAGCTGTTTGAGCGGTCTGAGCTAATCGTGTGAACAAGACAGGGGTCGCAAATTGGTGCCTGTGAGCTGAAACTGGTTCCTAGATGAACGTGGTTCATAAACAAGTTGGCTCTGTTTCGACAATCTTTGAAAGAATTTGAATTAGGGCACCAAAACTTGCAAATCAAAAGAATTCATTAACAAAAAAAAAAAAAAAATTGGATGTCTCCCTCATTTTTGTCTGTTTTAAAAAAGGTGAGGCAACGTTGGAATCACATTCCCAGGGGCCCAGCGGCAGCCCCTTGTTGGATGAAGCCCAGTCCTGCCAGGGCGCTCCCACCAGGGCCCCCCTACCTGTCGGGTTCCTGTAGGCACCGCAGTTTGAGAACTGCCTTCCCTGCTATGAACAGTCACACGCTGGCGTTGTAGGATGGCCGGCAACACATGGACAAGTAGAGGAAATCTGCTCAAAGAGAAGGCCTGGGGCGTGGGGGTTAAAAGAGGAGGAGGGAGAGAGAGAGAGAATGTAGGTATGGAGCTGAGAGAAGCAGTAGAGGGAACGAAAACGCCACGTTGCGCGGGGGCGGCCTGAGGGCGCGTCCAGCGGACTGAGAAATTCCTGGGCGAGGCCGGGTACTTGCCTGGGGAGGGTGGGCGTCCTAGGGGGTCCTCGGAGGTCACGGCGCGGTTCAGGGGCTCAAAAGCACGAGGCCCAGGAGACCCGGGCAGGAGCAGGTGTGTGACCCCGGGGCAACCGAGCCCCCGAACGTGCGCGCACAGCCACACGCACCGGACGAGCCGCGGGCCGCGCGTGGCACCAGGTCACACGCCTACGGGCATATGCTCCCCCGTCCCCGTGCGCGGGCGCGGCCCCGCTGGCGCAGCCCCGGGCGGGCCTGAGGAGCGGCAGTCGCCGACCGCGCCCTGGGTCAGGGGCCCGTGGGGCTGCCTCGTGCGGGCGAGCCACGCCGCCGCCTTCCCCCACGGCCCGGCGCCCTGGAGCCGCATCTGGGCCCCGCGCGGGAGCCGCGTGCCCCGCACACCGTGTGCCACGCTCGGCGCTGCGGGTCCGGACGGCGGCCCAGGCCGTGCACAGGCCCCCCGCCTGCCCGCCCACGCAAGGCCCCCCAGGCCGCCCACGCAAGGCCCCCGCCCGCCTGCCCGCCCACGCACAGGCCCCCAGGCCGCCCACGCAAGGCCCCCCAGGCCGCCCACGCTGCCCGGAGCCCCGCGCGGACGCCGCCGGCCCAGGAGGACGCCCTCCCCGCAGAACGCGGCCGAGCCCGCCTCCGCGCCTGCGCGCCCCTGCGGAAGAGGCCCCGGAGCTTGCGCCTCGTGCCTGCCCGCGTCCACGCGTCCCCCTCCCCGGACACGCTCGCCGCGGAGCTGCGTGGGCCCTCGTGCACCCCGGACGCCCGCTCCGGGCTCCTCTCCAGGGAGGCCCAGCTGCGCGGCCGCAAAGACAGCGCCGTGGTGGGCGAGTCGAGTCCTCCAGGGGCCGGGGCGGGAGGCCGTGGGAGGCGAGCCCGGGTGGGTGCGTACACGTGCGGGAGGCCGTGGGAGGCGACCCCGGGTGGGTGCGTACACGTGCGGGAGGCCGTGGCAGGCGACCCCGGGTGGGTGCGTACACGTGCGGGAGGCCGTGGCAGGCGAGCCCGGGTGGGTGCACGTACACGTGCAGGAGGCCGTGGCAGGCGAGCCCGGGTGGGTGCGCGTACACGTGCGGGAGGCCGTGGGAGGCGAGCCCGGGTGGGTGCACGTACACGTGCGGGAGACTGTAGGAGGGGAGCCCAGGTGGGTGCATACACGTGTGGGAGGCCGTGGGAGGCGAGCCCAGGTGGGTGCACGTACTCGTGCGGAAGGCCGTGGCAGGCGAGCCCGGGTGGGTGCACGTACACGTGCAGGAGGCCGTGGCAGGCGAGCCCAGGTGGGTGCATACACGTGCGGGAGGCCGTGGCAGGCGAGCCCGCGTGGGTGTGCGCACGTCCGCCACGCCTTCCCCTGGGGAGACGCGGTGGCGCCTGGGCTGCTCGCTGTGGTTTTCCTGACGGGTGAGTGGGCGCCGCGTGGAAAGGGCACGCCGTGGCCACATCTGCGGGCACAGCCCTGGTGAGGCCCGGCGCCTCTGCAGTTCTGGGTGCCCGGGGCCGGAGAGCCCGTCCGTCCGCCCATCCGTCCGTCCATCGGTCCCTCCGTCGGCACCTGCTGAGCCTCGCCCCTGGGGAGGAGCCCCCGCTCGCCTCCGCCCTAGGCGGCCTTACAAGGACGTCTGTCCCGGCGGCCCCGAGGGCCTTGGCCAGGGCAAGAAACCAGAGGGACAAGCGTCGGGACCTGAAGAGGGCTCCGAGTTGTTCCCTGAGAAAGAGCTAAAGTGACTACATTTATTTTTCTGACAGGTGGCTTACAACACTTGATTCTGCTTAATCTGAACAACAACCGGCTCACATGGATTCCCCAAGAAGTCAGCAGGTAATTTGGTTTATAGGGACACTTGGGTAAACGCCCCCTTCTCCAGCCCCACCCTGGTCATCTGAACCTCGACCTCACTGCTGGGCTTCCAGGCCTTTGGGGTTTGCATCCGGCCAGGAGGCAGGTGAGGACTGAAACAAACCACTCATTTTAAGCAGATGATTCTTTTTTTTTTTTTTGGATTTTATTTATTTACTTATTCATGAGAGACAGAGAGAGAGAGAGGCAGAGGGAGAAGCAGGCTCCATGCAGGGAGCCCCATGCAACACTCGATCCCGGGTCTCCAGGATGATGCCCTGGGCCAAAGGTCAACCGCTGAGCCACCCAGGGATCCCCTAAGCATACGATTCTTTAAACCCTTCCGGGAAGATGAGAAATAGCAAAACTTGGTGGTCTAAGTATAAAAGTGAGGGTTTGAAACATAAAATTCTAAAGTTGATTCTATTAGTGATGTCCTGACTCTGAGGTTCTTGGAGTTTGCTCTGATACAGAGTCCGGGACTTCCGCTTTTATTTCCTGTAAGTTTTCGAGACCATTTTCAGCTTGATGGAAAAGGCAATGTGAAAGAAAAGTGTTAGATAATTAAAATAGCATTTTCATTTTAAAGAAAGCCCCACATTGTATTACCGTTAACAACAACAGCAAAATGCTGCGCATCTCATGCTGCACATCTGCACAGATGGGCTGCCGCTACAGTGGCTTTCTGGAGCCAGCTGAGGGCCTTGTCCTTCTGCAGGCAAAACACTCTCTTGGGTTTTTCCTCTGACAGATGGAGAGAAAACCCTACTTGGGTTTACTTGACTTTGGAGACTCTCTTTATTGCTTGTTGAGTAGAAACAGATGTATAACAACATAAGCGCATCCAGATTTTTAAGGGATACAAGACTCTGAACAGTCCTTAGCAAAGGGGTTTGTGCAGCACCTAAAGTCTACTCCGATTCACTTGTCTATCCCTCAAGCCAAAGTATTAGCCTTCCCAGAGAGATTTTCCCAGAGAAAGTAATGTTTTTAAGTCACAGTGACTAGGAAAAAAAATTTTAAGTGATCTAATTTCTGAAGATGAAGATTGTCACAGTGGAAATGCCAATACCTGTCTGCGTGTGCTTTCATTTATTTAGCTTATCAATGGATTTATGTATCAATGAAATAATGAAAAAGAGGGAAGATCTGGTGAGCTAGGTCATTGTGCAACTAGCCTTATGACTTTGGGCAAGTCACTTAACTGCACCTTGGCTTTCTTATCTCTAAAGGAAAAATTTTGGGTAGATGAACGTCAGAACCTTTACAGCTGTAACATGCTATGATTTCACAATTTATTAGGCTTGGATCTGCTTGGAACATGAAGCATAATATTCAAAGAACTGTATAAATCTATAGTGACGTGCTAGAAGATGGAATGAGATGCAAGGTTTCGCTGAAAAACGTCGGATTGCAAAATATATGAGTCTACCCTATTTTGTAGATAATTCTGATAGCATGAATTCCTGCTGGGTCCTGTATGTAAGCTGATTGGTCACCTCCTCAAGCAGGATTCCATTTTCTGACCTTGGGAATGTTTCTTCACCTTTCCATACCTCAGTGTCTTCAACTGCGACATGCGGACAATAATAGGGCCTATTCATGGGGGTGGTTTTGACAGGTAAATAGGCAAATTCGTCCAAAATATTTAGGATTGAGCCTGGGACATGGTAAGTGCTCAGTGGATGATAGCTTTTCTTATTATGGTTTGTTATTTTTATTCTTCCTTCTGTTCCTCCCATTAGTCCCTTTTTAGAGACAAAACACTGACTTGGTGGTGAATTTGGGAAAAGCATGGAGCGTAGATGGCTCAGTGTCCTCCTTTCACTCTGCCTTCATGTAAGCAGCTGCCTTTAGCAGGAAAGGCTGTGACTGGTGGGTATGGTGAATTCAGGGGAGGGTGAGTAGGAAGCCTGAGAATGTTTGCGTCGGCTTTGTGCTGATGTGTGATTCCCTTCTTTTTGGATGCCATGTCTTATTTCTCCATCGGAGGGGGAGAGTTCTGTTAGTTTACTTAAGCTACAGAGTATCAGTTCATGGACTTGGAGTCACACCTGGACAGGTGAAGAGTTTTGCCCTGAAACAACTCTGTCATGGGCAGGACTGCAGAGCCATAGAAGGAAAAGGAGAATGTGGGTATCCTGGGGACAGAGAATCTGAAAGAAAGAGGGAGAAAGGAAGGGATTAAGACAGTGGGCTCAGTTCTTTCTCCAGATTCTCCACTCAGGGAGGTTACTCTTCAGCCCACTGGAGAGGAGAGGGGCAGGGAGAAGCTCTATCTCCTGTAGTTTTTTCTTGGAAGAGTGGAAGTTCTCCCTGCTTCTGGCAAAGGTAACAATGACTTATCCTTGCTCTTTACTCAACCAACGAATGATGGCCATTTGCAGTAGCCTCTAGGCTCAGCTTTGTGCCTTCCAGTAAGGACACTATGAAAAGCCAACTGCCATGGTAGTGATTTCAGAGTAGAATCCATTAAGATCGTGATTACAACAGTGCTTAGTGAAGAGAATCTTGTCCCTTTCTGTTTCTCCACGGGACCTACGCCGCACACTTGCACCCTCTTGAACACTGGGTCATCCAGTTTTGACCCTATATCCTCTCTGCAAGGGCCTTTGCTCCTTATTTTACCAAGAAACTTGGGATCAACAGATCCCTTCTTTTCAGGCGTTTTATCTTGCCTTAAGTAGACCTGAAGGCAAAGTCTACTTCTTGCCTTTTCTCTCTTGCTCCCTCATTCTTTCATTTATAGCTAAACTTTTGTAAACTGCCATCTGTCTATTGCTTTTGTTTCCTACTTAAACCCTTAAAATTCTTTTCCCCTCTTTATTCTACTTAATATTATTTTTAAAGACCATTAATGTCCCTTGGGCAATCAAATCTACTGGCCTTTTCTCTCTACTGAATACAGATTACACAAAAATCACGAGTGTTCCAGTCAATGAGTTTTGACCAATGCACACACACCAATAAGGTATTGAACAGTTCCAATAAGGTGTTGAATATATGTACATTTCCTGAGTTCTTATCTCTCATAAGCAACTACTATTTTGATTTCTGCCTCTACAAATTAGTTTTACTTGTTCTAGAACTAAATAAATGGAATCATACAATATGTATTCTTTTGTGTCTTTTACTGAGCATATATATATATTTTTGAGATTCGCTGTATTGTTGCATTTGTCAGCAATTCATTGTTTATCCCTAAGAGCATTTCATTGCGTGAATTATGCCACAAGTTATTTTCTCCTGTTTATGGACATTTGGATTCTTTCCCATTTGGGGCTACCATGAATTAAGCTATTGTAAATATTCTCGTGCAAGCCTTTTTGTGGACATATACTTGATTTCTTTTTCGTTTCAATTCCTAGGAGTAGAGTTGTAGAGTCTTGGGGTAGGAGTATAGGTATATATGTTAATTTACTAAGAACTGCCAACAGTTTTGCAAAGTGGTTGTGCCATTTTACATTCTAGCAGCTTTAAAATGTTAACCATTTGTAGTGGGTATGAAATTATATCTCATGATAGTTTTAGTTTGCATTTGCCTGAAGTTGAGCACTTTTTAATATTCTAATTCCCCATTTATATGTCTTCTTTTGTGGAATGTTTGTATGATGTATTTTTTCCATTGAAAAAAATTGTATTTTTTTTCTTAGCATTAAGCTATAAGAGTTCTTTATATATTCTGGATTAAGGTGCTTTGATAAGTGTGTATATTGCAGATATTTCTTCTAGTATATGACTTGCCTTTCAATTTTCTTAATGGTACCTTATTTTTTTAAGGGTTCTTTAATTTTGATGAAGGCCAATTTTAAAATATTTTCATTTTAAGATTAGTGCTTTTTGTGACCTTTCAGGGAAAGAAATATTTTCCTACCCCAATATTATCAATGTATTATCCTATATTTTCTTCTATAACATTTATAATTTTAGTTGTTATATTTAGCTGTATGATTCATCTCAAGTTAATGCTTGTGCATAGAGTGGAGTAATGTCAAAGTTCACTTTTTCCCCCCACATTATTCCTATATTTTCTTCTACAAACTTCATAGTTTTAATTTTTATATTTGGATCTATGAGTCATCACAAATTAATGCCTGTTTGTGATGCGGGATAGTAGTTAAAGTTTATTTTTTCTCCATATGTTTATCCAGTGGTCCTAGCACCATTTGTTTAAAGATTTTCTTAATTGCACTGCCTCGACACCTCAAAAACCAAATGACTATTTATGTGTCTATTTGGACTCTCTCTCCTATTGCATTGAATTATTTTTCTATAATTTCTCTGAATACTATCTTAATCACTGTAGCTGTATTGTAAACTTTGAAATCAGTTAACATGAGTCCTCTGACTTTTCTTTTTTATAATAGTTTTGACCACACTAGGGACTTTGAATATCCATTTTAGTTTTAAAATTCATTTGTTGATTTTTACACGAAGAAACCGTTAAGATTTTTATTTGAGAGAGCGCCTGGGTGATGCAGTTGGTTGAGCATCCAACTCTTGGTTTCAGCTCAGTTTGTGATGTCAGGGTCTTCAGAGTGAGCCCCATGTGGGGCTCTGTGTTAGCATGGAGTCGGCTTCAGACTCTATCTCCCTCTGCCTCTACCTCTCCCCATTGTGTGCACTCTCTTTCTAAAATAAATAAATTTTAAAAAAGATTTTTATTTGGGTTGAGTGGAACTGTAGATGAATTTGGGGGAGAACTGGCGTCTTAGCAATGTTGTTTCTTTTCATATATGAACAAGACCAAGACATATCTCTACTTTTATTTAGAGCTTTTTAAAATTTTCTCAGTCATAATTGACAGTTTTCAGTATTGGAGGCCTCTCCTATCGTTGGTTAAATGTTCTCTTAACTATTTTATGGTAGTGTTTTTTTTTATGTTACTGTAAATGGAGTTTTTAGAACTTTTATTTTCCAATTTTTGTGGCTACAATATAAATAGTGACTTTGTAGTCTATGATCCTAGGTTTGTTAGTTTCTATTACCTCTCTTTAACATTAAAAATGTTGACTATCTCTTTAATTTTGAGATACTCTCCTCCAGTACCTTTAAGGATTCCTTATTAACCTGGTTCATCTCCTGGTTCTCTGCTCATGCCTGCCTTCTCTAGATGCCTTGTTTAGTTTTTTTGTTGTTGTTTTGTCAGATGTCTGAGTTCCTCAAGAATCTTTCCTACTTGGGATGCCTGAGTGGCTCGGTGGTTGAGTGTCTCTGCCTTCAGCTCAGGTTGTGATTCCAGAGTCCTGCATTGGGCTCCCCACAGAGAGGGGAGTCCTGCTTCTCCCTCTGCCTGTGTGTCTACCTCTTTCTCTGTTTTTCATAAATAAATAAATTTTTTTTTAAAAAGAGTCTTTCCCACTTGCTGCTTTTCTCTCTTCTCCTGCCCTTTTTGTTGTTCTTCCCATCAATCTCATCTATTCACAAGGCTTCCATTGTTGGTTTGCAGTCTTCCCCCAGTTGCCTTCACCTGCACTGACCACTTCACTACATCTAGGCTCCCTTTTTAATTGTTTAAAAAATATCAATTTACTCTGTTATTACTTTAATCTCAACATATTGGATCTTGAGATTATTATATATTTTCATTCTTAGCTTTGCAAACAGACACATCTGCATTTGAATCTTGACACTGTTGTCTACTAGGTGGGTAATTTGGGCAAGTTGTTTACTCCCTCTGATCCTTTATTTTCCTCACTTCTGAATTAAGGGTAATAATTCCAGCCTTAGAGTTGTGCTGATGATATCATATAATGCACCGGTACATAGTTGATGCTCAACATTAGTAATTTCTTGTGTGTCTTTACTCAAAATATTAATATTTTGTCAGCTTACTATGACCCCCTGTTGCCCTGATTTTACAAGTTCTGTTATTAAAAGCCAAGCTCAAATGTTTATTCTCCCAAAATGCTTGTGGTATACCTCACTACCTACCATACCTGCAACTAGAAACTCGAATTTCCTTACTTCATTTCTCTCCGTCTGATGGCATTTCGTATCTTCATT